ATGGAACCACCGGAACCCCAACCTCAGAGAAAGCGAATGAGGCACCGTGCTAAGAAGCCGGCTGCGACGGCTGCTGCGGAGTACACCAGTGGGCAAGCGTTTGTGCGAGAACGCGGATCGGAATCTGAAATGGATTTCGACGAGGATTTTTAAAAGGGGACTCTGATGAGTCAGGTCAGGAGTATCCCCAGATTGCTATGTTATCACTGACGGAAAACAACAAAAAAAATATGAAAAGAAAAAGGCAGGAAGGGAGAGCGTCCCAACCGGAGAAAAAACAGAAAATTTTGGAGGAACCTATTCATGGTCCTCGACCTATCGTTAATCAGTTCCTTTGTTTTGCGGAAAAATGTTTACCTTGTAGGGTGTTGTTGGATACTGGTGCAACTGGTCCTGTTTTGTCTGCTGTTTTTGTTGATAGCTTTGAGGTCCCGAAGGTGAAACGAGACGTCCCGGCCCGGGTATTTGGATTTACGGGAGAAGTTATGAAGGGCACGGGACACGCCTTTACACAACCATTAATTATAATGTCAAGGGGGCATCAAACACAGTTGTCATTCGAGATCGCCCCTCTCCCAATTGGCATCGACGCGATACTACCGAACTGGTGGTTGAAAGAACACAAGCCGGTTATAGGGGCAAATGGGGAAGTTTCCTACGATGGTGAGAACTGCAAGAGTCGTTGCTTCACTGACAAGGAACCTCAAATAGAAATGGACGAGGGTGTACTGGACGATCCGGAGGCCCAATTCATCGGTAGCATCTGTCTCTTGGAAGATGAATCGGTTAACCTCCGTGAAACTCTTCCCTCTTGGCTCCATGGGTTCCTTAAAGTCTTCCTACCATCGGAAGCCGACAAACTACCACCGCATCGATCTTACGACCATGCGATAGATCTCGAACCAGGGAAGCAGCCACCATGGGGACCCGTTTACTCCCTATCCGAAGTCGAACTGAAGGTGCTTCGGGAGTACCTGGACAAAATGTTGCGATTGGGAAAGATTAGGCCGAGCAAATCCCCTGCAGGAGCCCCAATCCTATTTGTGAAGAAGAAGGACGGTAGTCTGCGACTTTGCGTTGACTACCGTGGACTTAACCGAGTATCCATTAAGAACAGGTATCCGTTACCACTTATGGACGAACTACGAGATCGAGTGGCAGGCGCGGTTATCTTCTCGAAGATTGACCTGAAGGAAGGTTACAACCTCATCAGGATCAAAGACGGCGACGAGTGGAAGACGGCATTCCGTACGCGGTACGGGCATTTTGAGTACCTCGTTATGCCTTTTGGGCTGGCAAATGCGCCGGCGACCTTCCAGAACATGATGAATGATGCGCTGAGGGAATTCTTGGATCAAGGTGTAGTAGTATACCTTGATGATATCCTAATATATAGCAAGTCTCGAGAGGAGCACAGGGAGTTGGTCGGCAAAGTCCTTAGTAGGCTACAAGAATATAATCTGGTCGCCAACCCGAAGAAATCGTTCTTCGAGCTCACTGAAATCGAGTTCCTCGGATACATCCTTGCCCCAGCAGGCGTCACCATGGCACTGGATAAGGTTATGTCTGTTACGAATTGGCAAGCCCCGCGTAGCGTTAAGGAAGTACAGATCTTCATGGGCTTTGCCAACTTCTACAGAAGGTTTATCCACAATTTCTCCGGGGTCTGTAAACCCATTACCGATTGTCTCAGGGGTGATGCTAAGAACTTTGTCTGGTCTATGACGGCCCAAGCGGCCTTCGAAAAACTCAAAACCCTGTTTACGTCTGCGCCGATCTTGGTACATTTCTCTCCAGATCGCCAGACTATCGTGGAAACGGACGCAAGTGATTTTGCTATCGCCGCAATTTTATCCCAGGTTATTGACGGAAAGACTCACCCTGTTGCCTTTTATTCTCGAAAGCTTAACCCAGCGGAACTCAACTACGACGTATGGGATAAGGAGATGCTAGGAATTGTGTCAGCCTTTAAACAATGGCGTCACTACCTCGAAGGACCTAGCCGAACGGTTCTCGTTTATACGGATCATAAGAACTTGGAATATTTCTCAACAACCAAGGTTCTTAACCGACGACAGGCAAGGTGGGCTGAGTCTTTGGCGGAATTTGACTTTAAGATTATTTACCGCCCGGGAACCAAAAATGGGAAGGCAGATGCACTATCGCGACGGCCGGAGTACCGTCCTGAAGGGGGAGGCACGCTTGGGAAACAGCCGATAGACAGGTTCTTTAAGCCCGGACAGTTGGCGGAGGAAGAGTTTGTGGTATCAGCGGTGTCGCTTGCCTCCAAGGGGGTGATTGACTGGTCGAAGAATTTTCTGGATCATGTCAGGCAGGCGGCATCGGGAGACCCGACATGGGTAGGAATGAAAGAGAGAGTTGAGCAAGGGGAGAAGCTGGGGGAATTGAAGGATATTGCCGAAAAAGACGGGCTACTCTTCTATAAGAACCGACTCTATATTCCGGCAGACGACCGTATCAAGATCCGAATTGCACAGTCAGAACACGATTCGAAGGTGGCAGGACACTTTGGACAAGACAAAACTTTGGAACTCATCACACGTAACTTCTATTGGCCAAAAATGAACGAGTGGATTGATGATTACGTTCGGTCATGTGACGAGTGCCAGCGCAACAAACCCAGCCGCCATAAGAAGTACGGTGCGCTTCTACCATTGTCCACACCACATTCCGTCTGGCAATCGATATCAATGGACTTCGTCGTGCAATTACCGGAATCGAAGGGATACAACCAAATTTGGGTAGTAGTCGATAGGTTTTCGAAGATGTCGCACTTCATTCCCCTAGTAGCAGAAACGACCGCGCAGGATTTAGCGAAGATATTCCTCGGTCAAATCTGGCGACTCCATGGGCTGCCTCTTGATATAGTTTCCGACAGGGACGCCAAGTTTACTTCAAGCTTTTGGGCATCCCTTATGGAATTATTGGACGTGAGGATAAGAATGAGTACGGCTTTCCACCCTCAGACCGATGGGCAAACAGAGCGAGTCAACCAAACCCTCGAGCATTACTTACGAGCGTTCTGCAATTACGAGCAAGATGATTGGGCAGAGCTACTCCCGTTGGCGGAGTATGCTTACAACAACTCGGTTACCACCGCCACGGGTCAATCTCCGTTTTATACCAATTACGGTTATAACCCAAGAACCAACTGGCCAACAGAAGCCGAAGTGGTCAACCCAACTAGTGACCTGTACGCTCACTTCATCCGAGGGATTCATGATTCTGCTCTCGCTCGCTTAACAGACACCAGGGAGAAGATGGGGAAATACTATGATCGAAAAAGGGACGAACCGCCTAACTTCAAGGTGGGAGACATGGTTATGCTCAATGCGACCAATATCAAGACACGTCGCTCCACCAAGAAACTCGATCACAAGAAACTCGGCCCGTTCAAAATCATCCGACTAGCCGGGAAACGAGCCTGCGAACTGGAACTGCCGCCACAAGTCAAAATCCATAATGTGTTCCATATTGAACTCTTGGAACGGTATCGACAAAGCAGTATCCCAGGCCGAGAACAACGTCCCCCAACTCCCGAAGAGGTCGATAAGGAAGGAGAGGTGCTGTACGAAGTGGAAAGTATCGTGGGGAGCCGGAAAAGCAGAAGAGGATTAGTGGAATACCTGGTGAAATGGCGGGGCTATTCGATGAGTGACTGTACGTATCAAGTCATGGACGCTATGGATGAGGAAGTACTTGACCTTGTCCGCGACTTCCATCGAAGGAACCCCAAGGCCGTGAAGGACCAACGCCTGAGACTATAGAGGTACCCTACGGGGCTAAGTCCTTCCCCTCCACAGACACCGCGGGTGATATGTGGAGCAGGTTTACTGGAACCATAGTCTGTCAGAAGATGTCCCGAGACGTGACACCCTGGAAGGGGGGTAAGCTGTTACGGGCATGCCAAGCATTTACGGGAGTAAGAGAAAGGCTAGTAGATACCCCAATACCCTCTGTACGCTAATATCAACTCTGGACCACACTCGCGGAGTGTGGTGCGACCAAATTACGACCAAAAAACCCAGAGTCATAAAAAACACGTTTTCAACCCCAATAATAACCCCCGGAGCGTCAAACCGCCGGAGGGGAGTGTTTTGGTACCGGTGGATATATGAGGGACAGCTGGAATCAATCGGATCGAAGATCGGACCGCTCAGAGCGAATCGGCGCAAGCTGCCAGCCGACCGAGTACCTATCGGCGGTACCTGTGGGCATGAGAGGACTCTGCTATGTGGGAAAGCGATGTGGGAAGAGGCCTGAGTAGGTAGCCTTGCCGTCCGAGACCTCCGAATAGCCGACGCTGACGATTATCCACCAGACGGCCGATGGAGAAGAAACCTCGACAGGGAAACGTGTATTAGAGTGGATAAATAGGTTGAGGGGTTTCAGCGGGTTTAGGAGTTTGGGTTACGGACTTAGGAGTTAAATATTCTTGGTTGTTTTTCAGGGTCTCGGGCATGCCCCGAGTGTATTCTGTATTATTAGTAGACTGGGTCCTCGAGACATAAGCGAGGGATATAAATACTGTGTCATTCACTGACTAGCCAAACCATCATCGGCGAAATCAGAGTCTTAACAATATAAATCGTTGATACGCGAGTTACAACTTTATTTGACTATACTTTTGGAATTACTTTACTCTATCGTGACTTCGAACTCTACCTGAACTATTACGTCGAAGACGGTCGAACATCCTACGCTAACTCTAGTGAATCTTTGTTGATAACGTAGCTCGCGGGGCCCGTATCGGATCAAGGAGAATCATACCCGACGTTGACTGAAGAGACCTTGGAGACTTCTACCTTTGTAGCTGTTAGCCGAACTCTGAGCTCTGCGTAGTGTACTCTTGTGGTCTGGTACGCATCCCTCACGTTCGGTCATGTGACGAGTGCCAGCGCAACAAACCCAGCCGCCATAAGAAATACGGCGCGCTTCTACCACTGTCCACGCCACATTCTGTCTGGCAATCGATATCAATGGACTTCGTCGTGCAGTTACCAGAATCAAAGGGATATAACCAAATCTGGGTAGTAGTCGATAGGTTCTCGAAGATGTCGCACTTCATCCCCCTAGTAGCAGAAACGACCGCGCAGGATTTAGCGAAGATATTCCTCGGTCAAATCTGGCGACTCCATGGGCTGCCTCTTGATATAGTTTCCGACAGGGACGCCAAGTTTACTTCGAGTTTTTGGGCATCCCTTATGGAATTATTGGACGTGAGGATAAGAATGAGTACGGCTTTCCACCCTCAGACCGATGGGCAAACAGAGCGGGTCAACCAAACCCTCGAACACTACTTACGAGCGTTCTGCAACTATGAGCAAGATGATTGGGCAGAGCTACTCCCTTTGGCGGAGTATGCTTACAACAACTCGGTTACCACCGCCACGGGTCAATCTCCGTTCTATACCAATTACGGTTACAACCCAAGAACCAACTGGCCGACGGAAGCCGAAGTGGTCAACCCAACCAGTGACCTGTACGCTCACTTCATCCGGGGAGTTCATGATTCTGCTCTCGCTCGCTTAACAGATACCAGGGAGAAGATGGGGAAATACTATGATCGAAAAAGGGACGAACCGCCTAACTTCAAGGTGGGAGACATGGTTATGCTCAATGCGACCAATATCAAGACACGTCGCTCCACCAAGAAACTCGATCACAAGAAACTCGGCCCGTTCAAAATCATCCGACTAGCCGGGAAACGAGCCTGCGAACTGGAACTGCCGCCACAAGTCAAAATCCATAATGTGTTCCATATTGAACTCTTGGAACGGTATCGACAAAGCAGTATCCCAGGCCGAGAACAACGCCCCCCAACTCCCGAAGAGGTCGATAAGGAAGGAGAGGTGCTGTACGAAGTGGAAAGTATCGTGGGGAGCCGGAAAAGTAGAAGAGGATTAGTGGAATACCTGGTGAAATGGCGGGGCTATTCGATGAGTGACTGTACGTATCAAGTCATGGACGCTATGGATGAGGAAGTACTTGACCTTGTCCGCGACTTCCATCGAAGGAACCCCAAGGCCGTGAAGGACCAACGCCTGAGACTATAGAGGTACCCTACGGGGCTAAGTCCTTCCCCTCCACAGACACCGCGGGTGATATGTGGAGCAGGTTTACTGGAACCATAGTCTGTCAGAAGATGTCCCGAGACGTGACACCCTGGAAGGGGGGTAAGCTGTTACGGGCATGCCAAGCATTTACGGGAGTGAGAGAAAGGCTAGTAGATACCCCAATACCCTCTGTACGCTAATATCAACTCTGGACCACACTCGCGGAGTGTGGTGCGACCAAATTACGACCAAAAAACACAGAGTCATAAAAAACACGTTTTCGACCCCAATAATAACCCCCGGAGCGTTAAACCGCCGGAGGGGAGTGTTTTGGTACCGGTGGATATATGAGGGACAGCTGGAATCAATCGGATCGAAGATCGGACCGCTCGGAGCGAATCGGCGCAAGCTGCCAGCCGACCGAGTACCTATCGGCGGTACCTATGGGCATGAGAGGACTCTGCTATGTGGGAAAGCGATGTGGGAAGAGGCCTGAGTAGGTAGCCTTGCCGTCCGAGACCTCCGAATAGCCGACGCTGACGATTATCCACCAGACGGCCGATGGAGAAGAAACATCGACAGGGAAACGTGCATTAGAGTGGATAAATAGGTTGAGGGGTTTCAGCTGGTTTAGGAGTTTGGGTTACGGACTTAGGAGTTAAATGTTCTTGGTTGTTTTTCAGGGTCTCGGGCATGCCCCGAGTGTATTCTGTATTATTAGTAGATTGGGTCCTCGAGACATAAGCGAGGGATATAAATACTGTGTCATTCACTGACTAGCCAAACCATTATCGGCGAAATCAGAGTCTTAACAATATAAATCGTTGATACGCGAGTTACAACTTTATTTGACTATACTTTTGGAAATACTTTATTCTATTGTGACTTCGAACTATACCTGAACTATTACGTCGAAGACGGTCGAACATCACACGCTAACTCTAGTGAATCTTTGTTGATAACGTAGCTCGCGGGGCCCGTATCGGATCAAGGAGAATCATACCCGACGTTGACTGAAGAGACCTTGGAGACTTCTACCTTTGTAGCTGTTAGCCGAACTCTGAGCTCTGCGTAGTGTACTCTTGTGGTCTGGTACGCATCCCTCACAGTGTTCCACATCGAACTCTTGGAACGTTACCGACAGAGCAGTATCCCAGGCCGCGAACAACGTCCCCCGACTCCCGAGCAGGTCAATAAGGAAGGAGATGTTCTATATGAAGTGGAAAGTATTGTGGGAAGTCGAAAGAGCAGGAGAGGATTAGTGGAATACCTGGTGAAATGGCGGGGCTATTCGATGAGTGACTGTACGTACCAAGTCATGGACGCTATGGATGAGGAGGTACTTGACCTTGTCCGCGACTTCCATCGAAGGAACCCCAAGGCCGTGAAGGACCAACGCCTGAGACTATAGAGGTACCCTACGGGGCTAAGTCCTTCCCCTCCACAGACACCGCAGGTGATATGTGGAGCAGGATTACTGGAACCATAGTCTGTCAGAAGATGTCCCGAGACGTGACACCCTGGAAGGGGGGTAAGCTGTTACGGGCATGCCAAGCATTTACGGGAGTGAGAGAAAGGCTGGTAGATACCCCAATACCCTTTGATACTAATGGCAATACCACTATCAACTCCGGTTCGCACCCACGAGGTGTGGTGCGATCGATATGTGACCAAATGCGGAGTTGCGGTTTTCCTAGTTAAAAAACACGTTTTCGACCCCATTAATAACCCCCGGAGCGTCAAACCCCCGGAGGGTTGTGTTTTGGTACCGGTGGATATATGAGGGACAGCTGGAATCAATCGGATCGAAGATCGGACCGCTCGGAGCGAATCGGCGCAAGCTGCCAGCCGACCGAGTACCTATCGACGGTACCTGTGGGCATGAGAGGACTCTGCTATGTGGGAAAGCGATGTGGGAAGAGGCCTGAGTAGGTAGCCTTGCCGTCCGAGACCTCCGAATAGCCGGCGCTGACGATTATCCACCAGACGGCCGATGGAGAAGAAACATCGACAGGGAAATGTGCATTAGAGTAGATAAATAGGTTGAGGGATTTCAGCGGCTTTAGGAGTTTGGGTTACGGAATTAGGAGTTAAATGTTCTTGGTTGTTTTTCAGGGTCTCGGGCATGCCCCGAGTGTATTCTGTATTATTAGTAGATTGGGTCCTCGAGACATAAGCGAGGGATATAAATACTGTGTCATTCACTGACTAGCCAAACCATCATCGGCGAAATCAGAGTCTTAACAATATAAATCGTTGATACGCGAGTTACAACTTTATTTGACTATACTTTTGGAATTACTTTACTCTATCGTGACTTCGAACTCTACCTGAACTATTACGTCGAAGACGGTCGAACATCATCCGCTAACTCTAGTGAATCTTTGTTGATAACGTAGCTCGCGGGGCCCGTATCGGATCAAGGAGAATCATACTCGACGTTGACTGAACAGACCTTGGAGACTTCTACCTTTGTAGCTGTTAGCCGAACTCTGAGCTCTGCGTAGTGTACTCTTGTGGTCTGGTACGCATCCCTCACAGACTATGGGCGTAGGAACTATGAAGCCAAGGAATACAACCGAGGCGAAGACGTGGACGTAGGAGGTTCGTGGACTATGGACTATGGGGCCGAAGGGTACACCTAAGGCAAGAACGGGGACTGTGGACTATGGACTATGGATGGTTGTACCTGGTCTAGTATACCGGGTAAACCCTATGACGTAGCGCAAACCAAATAGTATTCGTGACTGTAAAGTACAGAGAGAGAGAGAGAGAGAATCTTATATTGCATAGAAGCCGAAGCTTATCGCACACCTAACTACCCGACTACAACCTCCACCGACTAACCCGAAAGCAAAAACAAAGTACAAAAACTAACTACCGCAGCTACAAGAACTGCGTACATAAATAAAACAAAACAGCGCACGAAGAGGGCACGAATAACAAGTGGTACAGGTAAGCAGAATCTAAGCGACAACAAAGAAACCTTCCCGTAGTAAATAAGTAAGAACCCCAAACTTCTCCGTCAACTGCATTAGCGAGCACAATCCTATACGTAGTGTTCAATCGAAACGATATCATTACCAACGTTCCCGGTGTCATATCTGTGGACGAACCTTAACAGGACTGGGAAACCACGCGCACGAAGGCAGGAGAGGCCAACCGCAACAGCGTCAGGTGTGAAAGCGAGGGGGGGTGGGTCGAATGTGGGTCATCGAGCTTCTGGTTGTCAGGCAGCAAGGAATTGAGGAGTGGTGACCGGTTGGTCAAGTAAGGAGTGGGTGGGGTCGTCGGTCCCTGGAGCAACGGCTAAAGACTGTGCCCGAGTCGTATTTGAAGTGGTGTCCTCTGGAGGGGACATGCAAAAAGGGTTGAGCCGAAGGCTCAGTATGTATGGGGGTCGCAATCGAAAGTGCCGACCGTGTTGTGTTGAGGGTGGTCTTGGAGACCGGTTGGGTTGGGGTGAGGGGAGCGGGCCGCCTCGGGTAAGAAAGGGTTGCCTGGTTAAGGCCGATAAAGAGGGGTAAGGTCACGGGACCTCGGGTAAAAAATTTGACCATAGTTTCGCGACCGAGAGGTCGGTAACTTCGCGGGCTGTCGAGCGCTTTGGCAGTAGGTTCTCGCTGACTGGAGATTACTGACAGTGTGCGTACCCGACGTGTGGGATCACTCGTGCGATGAGTGAAAATAAGGAGGGGCGAGGGTGGCTTTCGAGAGTAGCCGCTGGTTTGGCGAGGGGTGAACGGTGGACGCGACCCGTGAGGGCACCGAACGAACAAAGAATGGGGGGTGTCGAGCGAGGGAAGTTCAGGGACCGAAGCAATTCGAGAATCAGTATAACTCCATCTCGGGGGGAAGAAATCCTATCGCGAGCCAGAGGCGAGCGAGTAGAATACAGAGAGAGAGAGAGAGAATCTTATATTGCATAGAAGCCGAAGCTTATCGCACACCTAACTACCCGACTACAACCTCCACCAACTAACCCGAAAGCAAAAACGAAGTACAAAAAACTAACTACCGCAGCTACAAGAACTGCGTACATAATAAAACAAAAACAGCGCACGAAGAGGGCGCGAATAACAAGTGGTACAGGTAAGCAGAATCTAAGCGACAACAAAGAAACCTCCCCGTAGTAAGAATAAAACCCCAAACTTCTCCGTCAACTACATTAGCGAGCACAATCCTAAACGTAGTGTTCAATCGAAACGATATCATTACCAACGTTCCCGGTGTCATATCTGTGGACGAACCTTAACAGGACTGGGAAACCACGCGCACGAAGGCGGGAGAGGCCAACCGCAACAGCGTCAGGTGTGAAAGCGAGGGGGGGTGGGTCGAGTGTGGGTCCTCGGGCTTCTGGTTGTCAGGCAGCGAGGAATTGAGGAGTGGTGACCGGTTGGTCAAGTAAGGAGTGGGTGGGGTCGTCGGTCCCTGGAGCAACGGCTAAAAACTGTGCCCGAGTCGTGTTTAAAGTGGTGTCCTCTGGAGGGGACATGCAAAAAGGGTTGAGCCGAAGGCTCAGTATGTATGGGGGTCGCAATCGAAAGTGCCGACCGTGTTGTGTTGAGGGTGGTCTCGGAGACCGGTTGGGTTGGGGTGAGGGGAGCGGGCCGCCTCGGGTAAAAGTGGGTGGCCTGGTTAAGGCCGATAAAGAGGGGTAAGGTCACGGGACCTCGGGTAAAAAATTTGACGATAGTTTCGCGACCGAGAGGTCGCTAACTTCGCGGGCTGTCGAGCGCTTTGGCAGTAGGTTCTCGCTGACTGGAGATTACTGACAGTGTGCGTACCCGACGTGTGGGATCACTCCTGCGATGAGTGAAAATAAGGAGGGGCGAAGGCGGCTTTCGAGAGTAGCCGCTGGTTTGGCGAGGGGTGAACGGTGGACGCGACCCGTGAGGGCACCGAACGAACAAAGAATGGGGGGTGTCGAGCGAGGGAAGTTCAGGGACCGAAGCAATTCGAGAATCAGTATAACTCCATCTCGGGGGGAAGAAATCCTATCGCGAGCCAGAGGCGAGCGAGTAGAATACAGAGGTTGCATAAAGAGAAAAGGAAAGGAAAGAAAACAGAAGAAAGCCGAGACAACGCCCCTTTATATATCCAGACCCCAACCCACAATGACTCATCTTCTCGCGTAACAGAAACAGAAAGAACATAATAGAAACTCGCTTAACAAATCCCACACACAAACTACACAATCCTTCCTTTACATACTCTGACACTTCGCATAACCGAAACATATGGCTGCCGTTACAGTTTTGCTAGTCAGTGAATGACACAGTATTTATATCCCTCGCTTATGTCTCGAGGACCCAGTCTACTAATAATACAGAATACACTCGGGGCATGCCCAAGACCCTGAAAAACAACCAAGAACATTTAACTCCTAAGTCCGTAACCCAAACTCCTAAACCCGCTGAAACCCCTCAACCTATTTATCTACTCCAATGCACGTTTCCCTGTCGATGTTTCTTCTCCATCGGCCGTCTGGTGGATAATCGTCAGCGCCGGCTATTCGGAGGTCTCGGACGGCAAGGCTACCTACTCAGGCCTCTTCCCACATCGCTTTCCCACATAGCAGAGTCCTCTCACGCCTACAGGTACCGCCGATAGGTACTCGGTCGCTGGCAGCTTGCGCCGATTCGCTCCGAGCGGTCCGATCTTCGATCCGATTGATTCCAGCTGTCCCTCATATATCCACCGGTACCAAAACACTCCCCTCCGGCGGTTTGACGCTCCGGGGGTTATTATTGGGGTCGAAAACGTGTTTTTTATGACTCTGTGTTTTGGTCGTATGTTGGTCGCACCACACTCCGCGAGTGTGGTCAAGAGTTGACATTAACGTACAGAGGGTATTGGGGTATCTACTGGCCTTTTCTCTCACTCCCGTAAATGCTTGGCATGCCCGTAACAGAAGCGCTGGGATTCCTCTGTGGATGCTTTTAGAGCCGTCTTTGGTGAAGCCATCTCTCGAGATGATGCTGTAGCCCAATGGAATACCCTTACCCACACCGCCCGAGGAGGAATAGACCTCTTCCTGAATACTATCATTCAGCTGATGTGGAAGACTGGCTATGAGGGTCAGTTGGTGGATGATAAGATCAACAATTCCCTCCTTGCGGACCTAGGCATGAGTTGGGCTCTTTTCAATCCCAAGCCAAAGTCCCTGATGGAGCGGATAGCTGCTCTTAGAGAGTTAGGGCACACTCATGAGAGGTACCAAGGGATGGCAGCTGAGAAGGCGCCCCCTCGGACCAAGAAGGATCCTACCGCTCAGAAGGACCAGCAGCCTAAGAGGAAAAGAGAAGCTGCAAGCTCCTCCGGATCTCAGAAGACTCCTGGACCTAAGGACAAAGCGGTGGAACTGAAGGGTATCCCGGGGGATATTCTAGAAGAAAGAAGGAAAGCAGAAGTATGCTTGAAGGTATGACCTTCCGGCACTCCCTATTGGTAGAGTGCATAGACTGACTTGTGCAATAGTGCGGCAAGTCCAGACACAAATGGACCGATTGTTGGTCAAAGGAACCTACTGTTGTCCGAGTGGCGGCGGTAAGAGTACAAAAGCGGAAAAGAGGGAATGGCAAGTCCAACTCTCAGAAGAAGGCTAAAGTGGCTGCTGTGGTAGCAGAAGATCCACTTGTTGTACTCCCAGTGGTTACAGAAGATTTTGTTTTTCAACCTGAGCAAGACTCGGACAATGAAATCATCTGGTAGAAAAGTGTCTGTCTGAGTCTATGTTTACTAGTTTTCTTTTATATGGGTTTTTGGGTTTCTATGTTTCTCTTGAATAAATTATGATTGTGTTTCCGCCTATTTGATTGCTCCAAGCACTCTGAGGATGGGTTTAAGACCCGAAACAGCTGGTCTGTCAGTGCTCTACCAAAGTTATATTTGCTATCAAGACACCTCCAAACCGCTGCTAAAAAGACTACTACACAATACATCTGCTATATTATCGCTTGGGAATAGAACCAAAGGATCTCTGATCTTAGTAGTGCCCGAAGCTATTAGCTATGTTGAAAAGACAAAGAGAAACAAGCTCAGAACCCGCTGTTAAGCAAAGAAGGTTGGAACAGAGGCTTCCCTCCTTACCAGTACATGGAAAAAGACCTATACTGAAGGCAGAACTGTCATGGACAGTCAAAGGAAAGGATGAAGGCGCCCAAGGGTCCTTCCTGTTTGACACCGGTTGTACAGGAGCAATCCTCAACCAGAGTTTTGTCAGGAAGCATGGAATTCCCTTAGTGCGGCGGGATCAACCTCTGACAATGTTTGATGCTCAAGGAGATGTCATGATGGGAGGAGGTGAGTATTATACTCATCCGGTCCGCATGATCATGGGAGATCATAAAGAGACACTCCGATGGGAAGTGGCTACTTTGGAAGAAGGAATGACCGGTTACCTGCCAATTAGTTGGGCTAGGAAGCATAACCCGGACATCAATTGGGAACTCAACACCATGAGCTGGAGGAGTGACTACTGCAAGCAGAATTGTCTCCCAGCGGCCACCAAGATTGAACTGATCTCTCCATATCAAATGTTGGAAGAAGAAGAAACAGTCTATCAATTGGTTGGTTCAGTATGGCATAATGAGGACGGAGGTGATATTGCTGAGAAAATACACCACCTATACCGGGATTGGGCTGATGTGTTCAGTCAAGAGAAGATTGAGGAAATGCCGCCGCATTCCCATAATGATTTGAAGATCAAACTCTTGCCTGGGACCGCTCCCCCATTTGGCCCGCTGTACCCATGTTCCGCTCCAGAGTTGAAGGCCCTCCGAGAGTACCTGGACAAAGAGTTGTCTTCAGGAAAAATCTCTAGATCTAACAGCCCTGCTGCGGCGCCCATACTGTTCATTCCTAAGAAGGATGGGACATTGCTGATTTGTGTGGACTACAGAGGATTGAACAAGGTCACTGTCAAAGACAAGTACCCGCTGCCCATCATGAGTGAGCTCAGAGACAGGTTGTTCAAGGCCAAGATCTTCACGAAGATAGACCTGAAGAATGGCTTCAATTTGATCAGGGTTGCAGAAGGTGATGAGTGGAAAACCGCTTTCAGAACCCGCTATGGACTGTATCAGTATAATGTGATGCCATTTGGTCTATGCAATGCTCCCTCCGCTTTCCAGGCAATGATCAATGATGTGCTAAAGGAACTACTGGATGAAGGAGTAGTTGTCTATATTGATGACATCCTCATCTACTCGGAGACTGAGAAAGAGCATGAGCTATTGGTCAAGAAGGTACTACAGAAGCTTAGGGAAGCTAAGCTCTGTGCCTCGATCAGTAAGACATCCTTCCATGTCCGAGAAGTAGAATACCTAGGCTATCACATCTCGGAAGAAGGAGTATCTATGTCAGAAGACAAGGTGGAGGCAGTTAAGGAATGGCCGGTCCCTGAGAATATCAAGGCAGTACAGGCATTCCTCGGATTTGCAAACTTCTATCGCCGCTTTATTGAAGGCTTCAGTAAAGTTTGCAAACCATTAACTGACCTCCTGCAAAAGGACAAGAAATGGTATTGGACGGCAGCACATGAGCAGGCCTTTGAAGAACTCAAGAGGCTGTTCACAAGCGCTCCAATTCTCCTTCATTTTGACCCTAGTAGGAGAACGGTGGTCGAGACAGATGCCAGTGATATTGCCAAGGGAGCGGTGCTCTCTCAGTATGGGGATGATGGGAAGCTACATCCGGTGGCATTCTATTCTAAGAAGTTCTCCCCTGCTGAGATCAACTATGACATTCATGATAAGGAAATGGGAGCTATTGTAGCCTCTTTCCGGGAATGGGAACACATGCTCAAATCTTGTGAGCAAGAGATCACGGTTTTTACAGACCACAAGAACTTGGAGTATTTTAATTCCACCAAGGTTCTCACTAGGCGGCAAGCTAGATGGTCTGAAGACCTCGCAGGCTACAATTTTAAAGTTGTCTACAGACCGGGAGAAAAGAATGGCAAGACTGATGTGTTATCTAGGCGCTGGGATCACCGCCTTGGAGAGGGAGGTGAAACTCTGCAGCCGGAGCCACAGATCTTTTTTAGGCCAGGTCAATTGGTTTTGGATCCTGCAAAGCTAGCGGCTGTCAGGGTGAATCAATTGCAGAACACATTCTTGGAGCGCCTATATACGGTCGCTAAAAAGGATAGTTTCTGGCAGGAACTGCACCGCTCCCTGGTTGAAAGGAAACCAAATTTGGACCAGAACTTGTCGGTCAAGAATGGTCTCATCTTCTACAAAAATAGATGGTATATACCCAAAGACAAGAAGCTTCAGATGGAAATACTGTCCGATACCCATGACTCTAAGGTGGCTGGTCATTTTGGCCAATTTAAGACACTAGAGCGGGTGAAAAATAACTTCTTTTGGCCCAACATGGATAAGGATGTTGAGGAATATGTCCGGAGCTGTGACAGCTGCCAGAGGAATAAGACCTCAAGACACAAGAAGTTTGGTATGCTCTAACCATTGGAGATACCCTATCGGCCATGGACTTCCATCTCTATGGACTTCATTGTGGGATTACCGGAATCTAGTGGGTTTACAAAGATCTGGGTAATAGTGGACCGCTTTTCGAAAATGGCACACTACATCCCTCTTCCTACCCTCAATAAAACGGAAGATTTGGCTAAGTTGTTCTTGAAGGAAGTTTGGAGACTCCATGGTTTACCTGATGACATAGTCTCGGACAGAGATAGCAGGTTCATCTCTCACTTTTGGCAATCTCTCATGAGTCTCCTCAATGTGAAGCTGAAGATGTCCACATCTTTCCACCCTCAAACGGACGGTCAAACAGAAAGAGTTAATCAGACCCTGGAACATTACTTGCGGAGTTATTGTTCATATCAACAGGATGACTGGGCAGAACTCTTGCCTTTGGCAGAGTATGCATATAACTCGGCGGTCTCTGAGTCTACCAAAGTATCGGCTTTTTATGCCAACTACGGATATGAACCCAGGACCAACTGGCCGGCCCCAAAGGAAGGAGTAGAATGGAACAATCCAGCAAGTGAGGTTGTAACGGGGGTCCTTTCTAAGAGAAATAGATTTGTATAGAATAGAGACGGCCGTGCAAGATAGACAATCAGGTTGCAGATTATTCAAAGATACTATCGCTAGAACTCAATAATCTTTAAGGGCTCTGCTACCGATAAGAACTTGTTTTTTCTGATGAAGACTCGAGAGAACAGGACTGAAGGGCGAGAATGAACCTGAGTACTTATACTCCGAAGGCCTCTATTCTCTGCTCCTAACTCCTTTTCTAAGTTCCGGTGGGCCTTCCCTCAGTACCGGAAACAATACCACCGCTACCCCGCTTTTCTCTAAGCGTCAGCAGGTGTTTCCGATACCCAAGGCAACCACCCTTAGTCAAAGCCTTTGTAACACCTGCAGCCTTGGTTGCCACACAACCGAGGACCTGCATGAATGAGCTGCTGCTCAGGTGTAAGCTTAATCATTGCTGTAGAGCTCTCGCTTATTGTAGACTTCCCTAGCATAGTCCCTGCCCTTCGGCGGACTTACAATGCTCAGAGGATATAGAGGATCACCGGGCAATCAGAGCTTCACTCTGGCCGATCTTCTAGACACTGGCGAGACATAGACTCGTCAGTCATTGCTCCCATGAATAGATCCCCTTCCTAGCGCCCGGAATGTAGTTACTCTAACAGCTGGTAGCTAACCACACTGCCGGTACTTGCATATCACCGTGCAACTGGCTTCTAACAATAACTCTCAGCATGTAACCGGGCCCTGTGTGTACTCATACACCAGACAGTTGAAATGGCTCCGTTACACCACTCCCCTCTTCCAGGATCTTGGTCTCCGAGATCTATAACCATTCTATTACCATTCATTCTATATGACAAGAAACTCCATGATATGCAAGGAAATGAAAACCCAAGAGGGAATAATCTACACCCCAACAATCCGCTTGTCCTTGGGTTTCTTAGGATACCTCATATGGAAATCCCGAAGGGCTTCTTCAGCACTCTTCTTGAGATGCTCCCAAGGTTCCCATGTAGCATCCTCGTTTTCATAACCTTCCCACAGCACTAGGTATTCCACTCGTCTTCTTTTCTTATTGACCCGGCTATCTGCTACCTCTCGGACAACCCAGTTCTGTTCTCCTTCAATCTCTTCGGGCTCCGGTACAGGAACTCTTCTCTCAGGATCTGCCGGTGCTCTGTAAGGTTCCAGAAGAGAGACATGAAAGACCGGGTGGATTCCCATTTGGGGGGGAAGAGAGAGCTTGTAGGCACGGGTACCAATAGCTTCTAAGACCTTAAAGGGTCCCATCTTCTTCTGATCCAGTTTTCCCAAAGGCCGCTTTGTTTGCACATTGCGCCGGTCCAACATAACTTCATCTCCGGGCTTGATTTCGGGCGGTGCCAGGGCATGAGCATCATACCACCGGGCCATC